CAGGTCTGAACAGGTCTGAACAGGTCTGAACAGGTCTGAACAGGGCCTAAGTGAAGCACTGCAGTGTAAGAACAGTCTATAGTGCAAGCAATAAAATTGCAATGTACATTTAAGATTAAATACTTCAGTACTATTAAATACTAAAGTTTATAAATCAGTGTTTCAGCCGAGTGCCGCTGTCCATGGTTCTGAAAGGGGGATTTAATTCAGGCACGTTAAATTTGCATTTAACCTTTTGTTTTGTTGTGTATGATATGTCTGCATGAGGAAAGGACGAGGCATGAAACTGAAAATATCACATTAGCAACTTCATTAATTAAATTTGAAAAATAGATTAAAATCTTCCTGCAAATACGAGAGTTAAGTTCAAGTTCCGAAATTGTTTTATTAAAGTATTCTATAAATACTTTAACAACTGCAGAGGCCGAGGTGACTTTTAATTTCTTGTATGGTTCACACTGCAAAAACACTGTATCTCCACTCCAGTTTGTAACATAGGCTCAATATATTATATATGTACTGTGGATACTTAGTCTGAACAGCCGTGGTCCTTTTTTCCATGTCTTTGAATGGGTTGACAAAGTGAAAACTTAAAAATATTTTTAATTAAGCAGAAATAGAAGTTCTCATAATTCTCTGTACATTTGTAACTGTGTGGTTGTAAATTCCAGGTTTGTTTGTAAGAACAACGGTGTGATCTTTGAGAACCAGCTTCTGCAGATTGGACTGAAGTCTGAGTACAGACAGAACCTGGGTGAGCAGCTGTCTCATACTTACTTGAGTTCTTCTCATCAGCCTTCATCACTTTTAAGTTTATTTTGAAAGGACACCTCTGACAGGCATCAAGTGTTAGAGACTGATGAGAAGAATCAGATGTGAAATGGGATTAGTAATTGTATATCATTTTAAATATAGTGGATGTGAAAAGTCGACAGTTTTTCTTCTGTTGTCCCCCAGGTCGAATGTATGTTTTCTACGGCAACAAGACCTCTACCCAGTTCCTCAGCTTCTCCTCATCAGTGACGAGTCCTGACTCACTCAATACTCATATCCTTTCTACTGCTCTGCAGCTCTGCCACAGGGAGTGGTAGAGTTTATTTAACACAACTAAATCAACAAGTACTGCTACTACTTCGCAGTTGAGGATATTTTTCACTTCAGTTCTGGTATTTGTAGACTCCTTGACTGTTGTCTCCACAGCTGAATGTCCATGCGAAGACAGTAGACCCCATAATAGAAGGTGGGGCTCAGGTGCAGCAGATCCTCAACATCGAGTGTGTGTCAGATTTCACAGATGCACCGGTTCTCAATGTCCAGTTCAGGTTGGTGTCTGAATCCAGACTTATTTTTTTCTTTAGGGGTGTTCAGTTAAAAATCTGCTCCTTTCTGACTGTGTGTGTGCGTGCGCGTGTGTGTGTGAACAGATACGGTGGAACTCTGCAGAACCTCGCAGTGAAACTCCCTGTGATGCTGAACAAGTTTTTCCAGCCCACAGAGATGACGTCCCAGGACTTCTTCCAGCGCTGGAAACAGCTCGGAGCGTAAGATTCACTTTGCATTATCAATTCGTTATCAGCAGGAACTGATATTTGGCCCTGTTCAAACCTGGTGTTAACGTGCGTCTGACCACTTGTGATCAGATCTCACTTCCCGCTCTATATGCAAATAAACAAGTATGTGTTGTTGTTATTAGCCAATCAGACAGACAGGTGTGTTGTCAATGTGCTTGTGTTTGTGTGTGTGATCGGACCACCTGAGACAGATGTTAATACCAGGTCTGAACAGGGCCTACGTCTCTGTCAGAAAAGGCAGAAACAGCTGCTGTTTGTCTCTGATGTTTGCAGGCAGATTCCTTTAATTTTTTGATCATTTCTTTTTTTGGATCAATATTAATCTGTGTCACTAACACGTCTGTTTTATGACTAAAGGTCAAATCAGAAAGTCGGTGTTAATGTAATGTGCACAAAGAATAACAACAGTTCACTGATGCCTGCTTCTAAAATGTGAATATATTCAAATCTCATGATATGAAACAAAGTCTCTTGGGGTTTGACATATCCAACTATTTAAATAAGTTAACTTTTCTTCATTTTTTTTGACACTATATAGACCATTTATGGAGTCATCGATTAATCGAAAAAATAATCAACATATTAACTACTAATTAATTTTAGATGTTGAAGTCGGTTCTATTTCAGATGTGGCTCCAAGTTGATAGAATACCTGATTTATCCAAATCTGTTTTTCGTCTCCTTGAGCTTTTTCTGCTCACTGAGCATCACAGTCAGGCAGCAGGCTGGTTTATTCAGTAGCTTTATATATATATATATATATAACTCGAAAAGCACTTGACAAAAGCACTGATGTTCTTTCTATCGTGTCTTGGATACAGTACCATGGAAACAGGTAGTGTGTGTAATGTGAAAGGTGTTTGGAGGGAAACGCCAAAGAGAATCAGCACCGGATTCTGCAGTTCCTCTTACATCTGTGTGTTTTTTAAAAGAATCTTTCAATATATATATATATATATATATAATAAGTAAAAGACTCCCTGTACTTGACCAGAGATCATATGTAAGGTAAAAGAAGCATCATTCTGCAACACCAGAACTCATGTGAGTGAATGTTGTGTTTTTGTAGTTCTTTGTGTGGCACATCCTCACTAGTGGAATCATCTATTTGACTTTGGTTCTGGATTCACACTCAGTAAAATGTTTTAAAAGTGTAATGCTCATTTGTGACACAGAGCATGAAGTGCTGTAGACTGGTCTTCGCTCTTAGGTAGAAATGTTTGTAATATTAACAGAATGAGGTTCAAATAGGTTGTGTATATTGCAAGTCTTGCAGTGGACAGTAGTCTACAGTAACATGTTATTTTTCCCCTGCCCCTTCTCATTCTGGAGATGAGTAATTATCTTCTCTCACTTCTCTGTGTCCTCAGTCCTCAGCAAGAGGTTCAGAAAATCTTCAAATCCAAACACCCAATGGACACAGATGTTACCAAGGCCAAGGTAAAAATATCAGTTCTTCAAGAGAAACTGCTCAGCTGTTAAACATCTGCCGTCACTCTGACAGACAGACAGACAGACAGACAGACAGACAGACAGACAGACAGACAGACAGACAGACAGACAGACAGACAGACAGACAGACAGACAGACAGACACCTGCAAACTACTCAAAACCACCTCTGTGGTAGTTCCCTCTACAGTAGGTGTCTCCAGGAAATTCAATCACCAACTCTGAGAATTTAAATTGTTGTCATAAACTTTATTTCGTTTTGTTTTGTTTCATTTCCTTTTCTCTTCTGTAAATTCTGTTGTAGATAATAGGTTTTGGTGTCGCTCTGCTCGACGGAGTGGATCCAAACCCTGAAAACTTTGTGGGAGCTGGAGTCATTCACAGTAAGAACTCTCAGGTGGGCTGTCTCCTCAGACTGGAGCCTAACACACAAGCACAGGTAAAGACAAGCACACACACACACACACACACACACGCATACACACACACAGACTCACCCCTCATCATACAGCCTGGGTAACTGTGTGTGTGTTTCCTACTCAGATGTACCGCCTCACCCTCCGGACCAGCAGGAACTCTGTGTCTCAGAGACTGTGTGATCTCCTCTCTGAGCAGTTTTAGACTCACCAGCGTTTTTTACACCTTTCCTCTCCTTAGATTGGAACTGATGTATTGTACTGTGTACATTCTTTTTTATTTGACTTACTCTAAATGTAAATGAGGTGAAGCGTATTTTTCACACATAGCTTTACTAATACATCACTGGTTTAAACCTGGATTGTGTGTTTACTCACACCGTGAACACCGACCTGTTGCGAACAGCGGCGGAGGCTCTGAATGCTTCTCGTTCTGCAGCTCTGAAGTTTTGAACAGTTTAGAAGTTGTTGTGTGTGTTTGCTGCTTGGGTACTGCCTTTCCTATTCAGACATTTTGAAGAGTTGGTGAGGAGTTACGACTGAGAGCTATTTAGTCGCAGAAGTCAGATCGTGAGCTTACCAATGATCTCTTGAGTTGTTTCTGATCGCGTTTCTATGAGACATTTATTCTTGTAGTGTTTCAAATAAATGTTGCACAGGACTGGGAAGCTTTCCTCAACTTCTCGCCCACTTGCACTTTTGTAAAAAAAAAAAAAAATAATTAGATTCACATAAGTAGATCAGATTTAGACGAGAAGATTTTCACTTAATGTCAGTTCTTCCTCATTTCACCAGTTTTACACATCTGTCATCTCGAGGAAAATCACCCTTTTGCATTGTGGTATTTTTTTAGATGCTATAATTTTGGTTCCCTTGTGAGAAGTTTTGAACTACATTGTGCATAAAGTTTACACATATAATTCAGACACTTAAACAAATGGCAAAAAGCCATAAAACACTAAGTAGCAAATGGATCATTTTCTGATGGTGATGAAAGTCGTTGTCTGATTTGATTCTGCTTCACATTTGTGCCTTTGAACTTTTGTTACTCTGTCAAAAACACAAAGAGCCTTCGAACAGACAAGAATAATAATGTTCAAGTCTAAAGCACTGACACTATTTTTGCCTAACTACATTTATTCACAGAGCACTGCCAAACTGGTGATATGTCTATATTTCAATAACATACGGTGTATTTTATCTTTTACAAAATGTACTTTTAGCATGATACTCGATGGCATATTTGATGCTCAGCGTAAAGACCGGCTCTGTCCAAATGTGAAAAAAAAAAAAAAATTCCAAGCATCATGTCTAAACAGCATGAAAACAACAATCTGACTCCAGGACGTCAGAACCCCTCATGAAATGACAGCTTATTATTTTTACACTCCTCTTTTTATACGTAACAAACAAAGATATAACATGTTGTTTAAAGAGCTTTAGAGGTGCAGTAGGTGGATTTGTTACCATTGAACTGAGCTTGGCTAGCTGCTTTCCTCTGCTCCCAGTCTTTAATGCTAAGCTAATCTAACCATCTTCTGTCTGTAGCTTTTATGAGAGTGATATTGATCTTCTTTATCTAACTCTCAGAAAGAAAGTGAGCAAGGTTATGAACCAAAATGTCAAACCTTTCTTTAAAGATTCTTAGATTGTTTTAAAGAGTTTGGCTGATGCATTAATCTGGACCTGAAAAGCTTTTCTGTGACTCTGTGTAATTTTACCAAATTATTGCCATGTTTGAAAAATGGCTGTGGGCCCCCTAACAAGTGAATAACACTCATGTCTTGTAGGAAATAAGGTTATAAATTGGCCCAGGAGATCTCAGACCAGCCAGGCCAGTGTCACCATGTGTCTTCTGTCATTCAGCACTTGTGGGGTGAAGGTGGAGGGGGGGGGGGTAAGATTTAAACAGTGTGTATTTATGTGTATCAAGGGGGTGAAATTTCATAATAATAACTCGATAAAAGTATGCCTGTAAATGAGCACTTGACAAAAGCACTGATGTTCTTTCTATCGTGTCTTGGATACAGTACCATGGAAACAGGTAGTGTGTGTAATGTGAAAGGTGTTTGGAGGGAAACGCCAAAGAGAATCAGCACCGGATTCTGCAGTTCCTCTTACATCTGTGTGTTTTTTAAAAGAATCTTTCAATTCTTTATTTTGGTTTTACACCTGGGACTTAACTTTTATAGCTGAAGCCACCTGCTCATATTAGAGTCATTTTGAAAAAGGCTCTGATGAGCCCGCAGCAGACAACCTGCCCAGCACCAAATGAAAGACAATATGGTAGTGATCACATGGTGGAGCATTTTAGCCACACATTTCCCTCACGAGTTAGTGAAGACCGGAACACTGAATATTTGACTTTGAGTATCTACGTTGGCAGAAACATGACTCCAAATAAATGCTAATGTTGCTTAGAATTTGCTGGACGTTCAATTAAGCTTGTTTTCTAAAATAAATGATGTGTGTCTAAAACAGTTCTGTTGTCTTATAGCCTGGGTGTTGTTTTCATATCCGTGTCCAGGACACTCAGGTTGTGGTTTGGTGGAGTGTCGACTAAAAGCAGCTAAGAGACTCATATCGCTGTGGGCTCATTGAATTCTAATGTAAAGCAGTTTTCAAGCACGAGGTACAAGGTAATAATAAACTATACTGTAGATATCTGGGCCTAAATCCACGACATTAGATCTATATTTAGTTCATGTCCTTGGTACTGTATCCATTGCACTCAGTGCTCATTTTAACTTCAGACCTGGTCACAGTGCTGTTATTTTCTGGTGCCTTCTAACAAGTGTCAGGTTTTCTGTGGCAGACACAGGATCACGCTGCATTAGACAGAAGAAAAGGCTGGATATGTTGTTGCTATTTAAATGTAATATTGTCTCAATATCCACATGCAAAAGTTGTTTTTACAAATAAAAACAAATAAAAACAGATCGCTTGTCACAGTGTACACTTCTTACACAGTGTAAATATATTATATGTTCTAACCCTAACCCTAACCCTAACCCAACCAACAGAATCCCACACTGTACTTAAAACTTATGCACACTTGACTGTAGGGCAAATATAATATATTGAATTTCCATATATGAATTATATGAACATGTAAAACGTAAGAATTATATATAAAACCTATTAGAAATGGGAACAATTTCATACATTGACATACATGTCTAGCCCAAACAAATATGTATGTTTATGTATGTATGCTTATATTGTAGACATATGTAAATATATGTAAGTATATCTCAAAGCCTGTTAATATGTTAATAAAGACCGCTTTCCCAGAATGAGAAGTTAGAAATGTTTAAAATTAATGAGAAATTATTAAGAAAAACATATATAAGCTTAAAGGATGTGTATATGTATGTTGTTTTAACAAATGAACATATATGAATTAAATATATATACAACAAGTTATACAATATGAAAATTCATTATATATATATTTAATTTATGTACATAAACATATTTTATTATGGGTATTTCATATATGTTATCTTACATGTTTCACATATCCAGAAGATGTTAATATGTGATAATATCATAGATGTCATATATGGCAACACATCACTCTTGATATAGGGACTTACAAGTCATATATTACATTTGTGTATGGGCCTTACTGCTAACTCAGCCCTGGACTGAGTAAAGTTGTCTGGGTAAAGTGTTCAGACAGATGTGTGTTTTACTTTGGAAGCGTCACTGTCAAAAACAGCTGTATCAGTCTGTTTCCATTTCTGCTCTGTATGACCTGTGTTTTAGAAAAGCTGCAACACCACAGAGAAATTGAAGAAGAGACAGCTCAGATTTATGTCACAACTTTATAATTTACAGTCAATTCTTAATGTTTAGACAAGAAAATCAAAGTGAAATTGTTTTGCTTTAAATTTTCCCATGAGCAGTGTTTAGTATCAGCATTCAATTCTGACCTGGGTCATTTCAGCTCTTCCCTCACCCAGCAAAATGTAAACTGCCTCCAACACTGTCGTTTGGAATAGATGACGTCTTTCATCCGTCTCACTGAAAACCTTCAAGGCTGACTGAATATCCACCGCTGGACACACCCATACAATTTAAGAACTGTATTATTTTAAACCTGGACTGGCGCTCCTTTCTTTCAGGACTTCCACTTCACTTGAAACCTGCAGCATTTTATCACCTACCATACATTTCATCTCCATTCAGGGCTTCAACATCAACTGAATCTTTAACTCGCCACTTTTCACTTCAGCAACACTCAGGTCTTAAATTGACACTTTGGTACCACCTATTTTTACTATCAACAATCAACAATTATCTAATAGGATTTCATCAAGATTTGACCTCAATGATGTCAAAGACTAAATGTAGCAGCAGATAAAGTAGTCAAATACAAAATACTCATTGTTGAAACATTAAATAGTTCAAATTTCACTTCCTTCATGCCATAGTGTTTTATACTGGAACAGGTTGTTTTCAGTTAGAACCTGTATTAACAGTTAAATCTACACTCGCTTCCTGTGTACTCAGGGTACATAGACTTGCAAAATAGCACAATCATGACGGGATCTTCCTGGCCACATTCTCGAGCCAATGAATAATGAATGAATAATCAGTCAAAATCATCACAATCATCAAATGTTTTTTTTTATTTGAAATTCCTAAGCAGGTAAAATGCTGTGCAAAGGTTTGAGGTACTAAAAATAAAGTGAGGATTCTTTTTTTTAAAAAAAAAAAAAAAAGGCCATGAATAGTTTTTATTGATCAATTACCTTCACACAAAAATTCTAAATCAAAACAATATCTGGCGTGACTGCACCAGTTCTCCTCGGTATACTTGTGAACAGTTTTTTAAGGCAGTCAGCTGATTGCTCCAAGCGTCTTGGAGAATGTGCCACAGTGTCTTCTGTCTCTTCATGTGATCCCAGACTGACTCCATGATGCTGGGATCAGGACTCTGTTGCAGGACTTATCACAGAGGAAAGTTCTTGATGACTCTGTCTGTGTGTTGGGCTCGTTGCCCTGCTGCAGCACCTGATGGTGCTGTGTGATGGAGAAGAATCTAAACTCTTGCACAGTAGTGTATAGTGAGAACATTATACTGTAATCCAGAATAAACATTATTATACAGAGGTTGAAAAGGCAGAGAGGAAAACTGACGCTGAAGTCCACCTGTCATACTAAATATTCTCTATCCAGTCATTATTGAGTTACACGGACAAGTTTATATGATCACTGTAGTTGCCGAGTACCAGCCGAGTGCAAAAAGGATTGTGTTTGTGTTTATAAAACCTAATCTGAAATCCTGAAAAGTCCGTCTGTATCCATGACTCAGTCTTGATAACGGACCTCTGCTCTGAGTTCTTTAGAGATGTAGTTCAGCAGCGCAGCGGTGACCTGCTGCTGGAGAGTGGCGTTCCCCATCACGAGGGCGATGAGCTGGGCCACGTCCGTCCAGTTCAGGTTGCCTAGGACGGCCATAATGTCGTCGTAGAGCTTCTTCTGCTGGTTGGGTGGCAGCTCCATCAGGATCTGAGGCAGAGGCCTGAACTGACCGCTGGTCATCCAGCTGCCCAAGAGACCGCCCACTGCTCCACCTGGTGGAAACACACAGACAGGTGGAGAGAGGTCAGTCACAGGTTCAGAATAAATCAAATGTAAGTAGGTATGTGTTAGTATGAAGAAAACGTGCATCGAAGACAACTGGAAACACAACTGATGAGGAGTCCTGAAGGAGAATTCTAGTGATATTTGATAAACCATATATATGTATTTTTAATTTTTAACAAATCCAATGAAGAGACCCGAACCAACACTAAACTGGTGCCACTAACAAGTAGGCAAAGCCTCAAATATCTTGTTCCTCTTCTGAAGATCAGTGAGACATTAACATGAACATGGCCACTGCAGTTTATTATGACTGACCTGTTTAAGTCATGTCATGTTAGTTGGGTAGGAATTAGTAGTAATTAAAGTAACTGGTGCTTAGGGACTGCTCAAATGTTTTATGCATCACTCACAATTCTCTCTCCCTCTCTCACCCCACTTTTTGTAATCAGCTGACTTCAGGTCAGGGGGTTCCTATACTTCACACAGCCTCACCCCCTTTTCATATATGACTCCTTCACGATGAGGTCTAAACGCCAAAGACTCTCACATCTCTCAATTTTCCTCTTTTGTTCTGTGCAGTCTGTCTGTGCAAGCTAGTCTACCTCACAAATCCAGAATCCGTCAGAACCCGGAGTTTTTCCAGAGTATTGACTCTTACCGACAGCGATCCCCGCAGGTCCACCGAGCAGCCCGCCCACAAAGGCTGTTCCTCCTGCCATCACCGCTCCTTTGGTGGAGTTTTTCACTGCGGCCTTGATCTGATGGTGAGCTGAAATTTCGCAGCACAGACGCATCACATCACCCATGAGAGGAGCCATCCCGGCGTTGAGGCACTGGTGAGATAGGAGGGCGAACAGTCGACTCTACTGTGGTGTCCTTCCTAAAAAATAAGAAAGATCCAGCTTTAAGTTAAGCCTCGGGTTCAGACCAGGAGAAAAGGAGAAGGCTTGACACTCTCTGGGCTTGTTCTCACAGAGGCAGTGTTAGGAAACAGCATTTAGTAAATTAAAAAAATCTGTTAAATCCCATTTGTCTGCAGTAATAATAGTTTTAGTATCTTAGCTTGTAACTTCAGTGTTGACTGTGATGAAAGAATATAAAAGAGAATATGTTAGAGTGACATATATGTACAGATACAAAGTTTCACTTTCAGTGCGCAGTTTCCTGCAACACAGTTTCCTGCAGTGAAACTTTGATTTAAACTTTAGATTCTTTGCATAAATTTTGCAATGATTTATAGTTTTTACATTTTATTTTAAAGCCAAAAATATATCCCAGAGTGCCCATACAATTCAGTACTATTAATTGTCATTTTTCCACATGCTGGATATAAACACAAAATATTTGGTGTACAACTTTAAAAACTGAGTGTATAGCAGACTACACATGGCAGCTGTACTCTGTAGCCTTTATTATAGACCCAGAAACTAACCAGTCAGTTAGTCTGAGGCAATGTGATTAAATACATCTTACTCTGCTCTTCATGTGAACACAATACAAAGTGAGAGATTCTGGCACAAGGCCCTTCTTCATGTCATGGCCACAAAATTAGGTGATAATGTACGACCCACCTTAATTGATATTGTACATTAGTGGTGCAAAAAATCCAATAAAAACATGCAATTATACAAATTACAAAGACGCACTGACATGCAGTGAACCTGACGCTGTTAGGAGTGGTAGTAGAGTTTTTATGCAGTTGTCTACATAATGAAAGAGAAAGCTCAAATCTCTTTTCAAAGAACTTATCTGCTTTCACATAAATGGCAGACCATTGTCTCTCAGTAAGGTTTAACTACAGTTCACTATTAGATGAAATTTTACTACAACAAATGTCATCACAGACACTTTGACATCAGTTTGCAGTTTATTAGGAACACCTTGGTAAAATGTAATGCAGTCTAATACAACAGTCCTACAATAAATCATCTTTTATGGAAGTTGTAATATTCAGTTTTCATTGAAACAGTAGAGGTCTCGCTTCCACTGTATGATCATTAGATAATGTAGCTTGTGGCGCTGTTGAACTGTGTTGCATAATAAAGAGAGGCGTTTCTGTTATTTCTGTCAGCACAAATTAAAAGACTGTTGTATTAGACTGCATTAGTTTTAGCCAGGTGTTCCTAATAAACTGCAGCTGAGTGTACAAACATAAGCTCTTTGTTCTCCTGCCTGACCCATCTCCTTAAGGAAGAGGAAACAAAAGGTGCATCAAATTGTAAATAAATGTCAGAGGAAAGTGCTTTCACTTTTACTTTCAAATTCAACATAAACTAAACATCGTAAAAGAAAAATAATAATGAAATAGGCAACGTTAAATATACAGTATGTGGTCGGTTATTTTCTGATCTAACATATTTCAATAAATCTTGATTGCTTTTAAATTCAAATGATGTAATACACTTGAACAATCAACATGACCAGGTTTCTGAATGGTGACGTGAATTAAGCAGTCTGTTCTAAACTTCATATGTCCATATAAACTGAAAGTCGATGATTTCATTTATCTGAGTCATTGCAGATCAATAGATCAATAGATCAATAGATAAAAAGATCAATGGCAACTCTGTGACCGGCTGAAAACTTCCGTTGCACTTTGAAACTGACTTGATAAAAACTAAGTAGCCATAATAATCTACTATACGTCTGCGTCTTTTTTCAGAGAAGAACACTTAAAGAGTGAAGTCGGTTTAACAAACGATTTTTCGATTAAGATTCAACACAATTTAAGTTTGGATTCTATTTTTACACCGAACAACACAAGACTTCAAACACAAGCCGTTTCATTTCTTCTTCTCTGTTTACGTTGAGACAAGACACAGCAGTCAGCTGTCACCTGACTTCCCTCAACATTTATTTATATTTAACTATTACTAAGTTGATGTGATTGTTTCTTACCTTCAGTCCTGACCTGAATGAGCGAAGTAGCCGTTCTTGTTCTACACATGTAGCAGTCCTACTTCCTGATGAAATATATCAGAGAGTATATAACTGACAATTGAGGCAAGATGATTTCATCAACAAAAATACGCAGCCAGGGACCGCCATCTTGGATTTTGACAAGCCAATGAAAAGTTAGAAGTACAACCTTTTTTTTTCTTGCATATATAACGACTTGGCTCTGAGATCTTCACAGTATACAAAAGGTACAAAAAGCCAAAAAGGTTGAAATGATATTACATCACATTTTTTTGTAAATCATAATCCTCTATCACTCTAGAAAGAAACTGCCTTATTAGTTTTCATGACTTTCAGGGCTTTTTTGTAAGAAAAACACGCATTATGAAACACACAAAACTTAAGTTTCACTTTCTTGTACTTAGATTTGTGTGTATAAAATTTCCCAAGGTCAAGAATGGTATTAACCAGGAGGTTGTTTTCTTGCTCCAAAACAAGTCCATAAATAATGTCCTTTTGAGAAAAATGTAATAACATTTGGGCACAACCAGTCTGTATATCAAGCCATAGAGTTTCAGAATACATACATTGGAAAAATAAACGCTAAGTAGTTTTGTTGTCATCAAAGAAACACAATTATAAAGCTTGAATAGTATGTTACGGGTAAAGTTGAGTTTCTGACACAATAGGGTGAGAGATGTAATCAAACATCCTAATTATTTTGTGTGGGATTTTGATTTGATAACTGTCCAACCTTGTTGTACTGTCAATCCTTGATGTAGGAAAAACCAGAGACCACATAGAAGAGGAGATAATAACCTCTTGTTTTCTTAATTCTCTTTGATTTGATCTGCCCGCGTCCTACAGCGACATCTAGTGCCCCTGGTCATCAAAGCAGTTCCAATTAGTCAGTTAAAGATCATTAGGGTATTATTGCATGCTATTTATGTATGAGGATCATGTTAGGAAGGAAATTCTTGCGAGAATAAGAAAATAATGTGAGCTAGTAAGTATTTTTAAATACTGAAGCTAAGACGCTCTCAGGATACGTATCTGTTGATAACCTATAATTACAGTGTCCATGTAGCCTGCAACTCGGGCTATTTCTGGCCTCATAAAGCCTGATTATTACACAGGGTACAGATCGTCTGTCATCAGTCTTGAACCTTAACATTAGACATTGAACATTAATATCTGTTAAAACAAAATCAAACAAATCTCATCAGAAGTCATTCAAAACATGAGAGTCTTTCCAACTTCCCAACGAGGTGCGTGCAGCGCGCATGTGCAAAGTGAAGGAAAACAACATTCAAACTGTGACTTGTTGTTAAATAATTTCTTGCCCGACAGTGACAATTGACTTAGTGTCCATTTTTACTGAAATAGAATGAATCATTAGTCCACTCAGCAGATATAACATTGTGTCCATTACGCTGTTTATGGCTCCACTCTGAGTATAAGACTGGGCATATAAATATGATATTTCCGTCATAAGCGCTTCACATAGACACATATACGTGGGTTGGTTGGTTGACATGTGACGCAGTGCCAGACGCACGCTCGCCCCGCCTCGCTGGGCGGGGTTTGATGATGACGTTGCAGAACACGGGGAGGACTCTCGCAGACAAACAACTTTGAGATCAAAACAATCTCTGAAGAAAACAGCAGCAGAGCCGGACTCTTCCCCTACAACGGCCACACCCGAAGAAAAAACACACTTTTATTTAGTCAGGTGAGTCAAAACTAAATCTCTATGCTTCACTGAGCTATCCTGGCCTTTTATGAGCCATGGTCTTTTGTTCTCTAACTACGATCATCTTGGCTGTGTGAAGTCTTTGTCTTACTGTCTTTGTGTAATGTCTCTGCAGCCTGTGTTTTCCTCTTATTTGGACTGAATATCGTCTGTATTGTCATGTATGTTAAAGCAGGACGACATTCTCCACTCTGCTCGCTGCGTTTTTCATGAAACGAACCAACACTAATCTCTGAGCACACAGTCAGCTGTTTTGCTGTGTGGACACTGGGTGGTAACAGGCCTGCTGTGCTGAGGCTGTCATCGACTGGGTTTGTGTTGCATTAATCTGGGTGAGGGAACACTGTCCTACGGCCTGTCTTTGTTCACAGGGAGGGGTCTGGTTATATTAGAGTTCAGACAGACACTGCATATGCAGACAGGAAGGCATCCAGACACTAGAGAGGAGGAGGGAGGGGGGGGGCATACATGTACAAATACGTGTATTATATGATGGTGTGTTATGGGCATAATATACTTTGAGATATACCTGATGATACTTTAAAGAGCTGAGGAAAAAAACGGTTTGTTTAGCATTGAAAATTGTACCTGTAAATAGGAGGTCAGCATTTTATGATCACTACTTTGACTTTGTTATCAAGTCACCAAAATGTTGCTTTCAATAGTAATAAGTAATAAAGAGATTAACATACCATTGCCCAATCATGGACATGTCATAGGAACCTGTACTAAGGACTACCAACAAACACAGCATTAATATACTGTAAGTTTCAAATAATGCTAGAATAAAGGTTGCAGGGTCAAAAGGTCAGAAATAAAGTCACTTCCCGTTTTCATGGCAGAAATCTAAAGCAGAATAACAGATTATATAATGTTGCTTCAGTCAGTGTAATTCAAGCCTCTTTCACCATCGTGTTCTCTCAGTGGTCTCAGTTGTAAATTGACCCCCTGACCCCCACATTACAGCAATGTAACAACTCAGGTTGCTCAGGTTTCTGATCAGGCGTCATGGAAGCAGTTGTTGATAAAGAGCAGGCGCAAGGTGTCAACTGTAGACAGAATCCTGTGGGTGTTTCGTTGGGACAGCCTCAAGAGGGAGCCATTTGCACTATTTTACTGTGCTAAAGACACAAGCAGAGGGGAAGTTACTCAGATCAACTCAGCGCTCACCTCCACATCTAAATTCACCTGCTTGCGGTTGTTGGTTTACAGGTCGCAGTTGAGGCATAAAGATGATCGGAAAGATTCTTTCTCAGCTGCTTGGGAACGCCGGTGAGGAGTTTGAGGCTGCAGATGACACCTACGAGGAGTTGATGGAGTTTGAGGAGGGAGGATGGGTCATTGTCAATCTCCCAGGTGAGATTTCAAACGTTCTTGAAGGTTGAATGAGGTTGCGACTTATACCGGGACGAAAACTGACCTGTGTGAATTGGGATGTTCCTCATACAGACAACGGGCCGCTGTCAGCCCCTGAGGTGGACCCCCTGGAGAACCTGCTGATTGAGCACCCCAGCATGTCTGTCTACCAGATGAGATGCAGGATGAGTGGAGCGGAGGAGGAGGAGGAGGAGGAGCTAAGCTTTGATGAAGATGAAGAGGACACTTCCAGGTTACTTTCCTTTTCGATACTCCAGCTCATACACACATTTTTCCTGGATCTTGAACCCAATTGACACCAGTCAGAGTTAATAAGATAAGTGAAGTTATCTCACCTTTAAGTCACCCTTCTCTAAAACAAGTGAGAGTATGTTTATGTGGCATAAACCCAGTGACTACAAACTGTTACTAAAACTCCAGTAATTCAAATATTTACCTCATTATTTGCAAGTCTATACTTCCAAGATGGAAAGTCACAAATGCAACCTGCTGTTTTCAAACATTTCGAAATGGGCCCTGAAACTATTATAGATTATTGTACAAGCTGAGGTACAGAGCCTCTTTGACCTGCAATGGCAAAATACTGAGGAGAACTTTTACAGCAGCTGATGAAGTTAATTGCATAAAAGTTGCTCCTTGTATAAATAGCAGTACCACAATATAAAAATACTCAAGTACAAGCAAACACCCTGCATTCGGAATCTGAATTAAAAGTATTATCAGTAAATTATATTAAGTATCAATAGTAAAGCTCTCAGTATGCAGAAAAATTCACTGTGTGTTAAATTAGTATATATTATATTAATGCAGCATTTTACTGTTATAGTTGGTCAGGGTGGAGATTATTTTAACCACTTTAACTGTTGGTTAGTCTTATCTAACAGTACATTGTATTTTATTGTGTGAGTGTAGGTTTTTTAAAAGTAAAATCAATAGAAAGAATCTTAAAGTAACTGATTACTATGGAAGACGAATATAATGAAGTAAAATGTTCAATATTTCCTTCTGAAATGTCGTGAACAGAAGTATAAACTACTATAAAATGTATAAAAAGTATTCAAATAGAAGTATCTAAAAACTATGCTTAAACACAGGATCTGAGTAAATGTATTCAGTTTTTTTACACAGTCTTTATGCTGCTATTGGCTCATCCTCAGGTGTGGTTCTTATGACTACACTCACTGAAGGTGCATCAGTTGAGTTGGTCAGGGCTGATCTCTGATCCAGTTCCGATTTTCCCTCTTCAGCCACTGTAATTCTCTCTCAGCCTCCTGTCCACCTGTAGCAGATGCTCTTCCTTTTAAATAGGGCTGTACTTGAATCAGGATATTCAGAATCCACCCAGGGTCAGCACTTCAGGCCATGCAGTGACTTGAGGAGGTGGGGTGGGGGTTAATTTGTTCTCTGATTGTGGATCATGCTTTGTCTTATCTAGATAACCAAAATGTTCCCACACTGCTGACCTGAATGCGCCTGGTGGATCTGCAGTCTCAGGGTTATTACCCATCTTGAGTTATTAAAAAGAGCCTAACTTTCAGGTGTGATCACTCGATCATCGATTGGACCAAAATAGTCCTGTGACTCATGCAGTTGCAAGACAATAGGTGTAATGTGTAATATTTTCAAAATATACAGCATTTTATGATTTATGTGAAATGAAAAATGACTTTAGTGATACTAGTAACTTAATGAAAGCTCAACAGGCTGCACCTGCAGTAGTGGCAGTTACACAAGTATCATTGCACAGGATCGTTTGTGTCGTGGTTTTGGTTTCGGTGTCAGAATCGTTACACCTCTAATCTCCATGAACCAAAAGGTGCCCATCACAAACTTGTATGAGGTTAACTCTGCTGACAATTTATCAGGCTCAACCTTTTCAAGAGAGAGGCCACCAGGATAAAGCTTCTCCACATCCAGCTGTTTGGGAGGAAATATGTGTCACAGACTTGATTCTCCATATGTCCAGAGGTTCAGGTCAGGGCTGTGGCCGTGGCAGCGGAGCGATCGCTGTGATTCAATAATCTGTCCAGCCTTTCTAGACCAGAATAAATCATTCAAATGGTGTCCCTGTTTGACCTATCATGGGCTAAGAGATGTTTTAGGGGGGCTGTTACCTCTATGCCTAACTTCCAAAACTGTTGGTTAACAACATGGACACACAAAGATCAGACTGTGTTAATCCTAACGCCTTTTTGAGAAATGAGGACAGAACATTCACTCTGAGCTGGCGTCAGGTAATACTTTATCTTCCTCATATTGAATTTCACCTAATATGTCGTCAACACATAATGTCTCTGTCCAGGCCAGTGGCAGTGAGGCAGCACATATCTTGGCGCCTGGCTGCCTGGGGAATCCCCCTGCCCTGCAACGTCCAGCTGCTGGCCGTCCAGAGGGCCAGGACCCAGGCCGAGAGGAAGAAGCTGAGCCGCAGCTCTCTCCACAGGCAGAACCTGGCTAAGCTGCGATTCTCCCCCGCAGAGAAGCGCTACGGCTTCTTCAAGCAGCCCTGCCAGCGTCTCTACAACTACTGAAAAGGAGTAATGAAATTTACTTGTGAAGGGTTGTGTCTCAAGTTGCCGCCACCACAGCCCAGTGTGGTGCAGCATGGTGCCTTGACTCTGAAATGCTCTGATTTCACTGCAACACAAGTTTTTCATTTTGATTTTAAAACGTAGGCAACCTGCACTGCGGCCCTCACACCTGAAAGTGCTGAGAACAAAGAACCTCAATCTCCTGATATCATGAATGAGTCAGTCCCTCAGATTGGAAAACGTTAGTAACAGATGCAGTTACTATCAAGCAAAAATGTTTGTACAGTATCAAAGAGAACATTTGAGTTGTGTGACTTGTTTAGATGGATTAGCTGTGTGAAGTTATGCTAGAAGAGTTGTTACTGTTACAGTGTGTGACACTGTTCCGAATATGAGAAACTCAAAATATATATATGAATACTTTGCTCTAAATTATGATGCAGTTGGGATTACGGCACATTTTGATTAGTTATGATCTTGAGACATTCTCGTGACAAGTGTATTGAAACCTGTACAGTATTCATGCCATGTGAAAATGATTCCCTGTGAAGTCCCTAAAATAAATGTCCCTTTTGTTTCTAATTGAATCTGCTTAAGAATAATTGCAAAACCACTGTTCAAGTTTTCTATTGAGTGTAAGATTTTGTACTTTTCAGCAGGTACTCGCTTTTTTTCATGTTACGCTAATTGTTCATTTTAGACTCACGGGTGTAAATACAGTTGAATATTATGTTTTTCTATTTGTGTGTATTTATAAAATGTACAAAAAAAGCTTAAAATAAATCTTGTTTTCTTAAGGATGTGTCTGTGTGTGTTTAATGTGACAGTACAAACAGTGATTGTGCGACAGTTTCTGCTGGGTTTTCCGAATTCAATGAGTCTGCTCCATCTACTTGAGCTCAATCATACAGACTGATGCTCCTTCACAGCCGCTGTGATCCTCCAAGGAACATTGTCTGACATTGCCACACAAGACAGTCTCAGTCCAGACAGTTCTGGTCTGTGGTTCTCTGATGGTGGAACAAGATGCTGAATGTTATCAGAGCAGGAGCGTCCCTCTCTCCTAGCACCTCTAACACCCTCACATGTCTATAACTAGTACTTTCGGTGATTTCCTTGTACTTATCAAATAGATGTAGTATTCAGTACTTACACCAAGGTCTCCTGCTGCACTGAAGCTTTAGTGATGTCCCTCACCTGTAAGTAGCTTTGGATAAAAGCATCTGCCAGATAAGTAAATGTTGATGTAAATGAATTATTAATTAATTAATAAAAAATTAAACACACAGATACAGGATAACCTGGAAAAGCACAGTAAAGCAGTAGTGGGCGGGTGTGGCTCAGGAGGTAGAGCAGGTCGATGGTTTGACTCCTGGCTCCTCCAGTCCACATATCTAAGTGTCCTGGGTCGAGATACTGAACCCCAAACCCCCCCCCACACACACACACACGTATGAGTGTGTGTACGATAGAGAAGTGCTGTCTATATAGAAAAGGTGCTGAGTCAGTGGGTGACTGTGTCTTGAAGTGTAAAGGTCAATAAGACGAGAAAAGCTTAGTTATATAAGTGCAGTCCATTCAGCATTTATTGACATTTCTATCACATATTTTGTAGGTACATTACAGCTGTATATAACAACAATTCCCAGTGGTATAATAAATGTGGATGCAGATAAGTGACAGAGATTTGTTAAGTTTCTTGTTAAAATCGACACTTTATGAGTCAGTGAACTTCATTATTACTGAACAGGCAACATAAAATATTTAAGACTTTTAAATACCTGAGGCTTTCTCTGAGGAAAGGACCTGCAGATATCCTGACAGTGTAATGAAAGGTGTTTAAGACACTGTGGTGATGAACAGAAAACCGTCCCTTTCATTTTCGAAGGTTGTGTATCTTTCCCATGAACCTCTTCACCTGCTCCGGGTCAAGTGTGTTGGCCCAGTGGCCGCCCTGCTTGAAATGTGAACCGATGATCATTCCACTTGCATCAAGGTAGCGTTCAACGTTGTCGTAGGTCACTCCTGAACCAATCAGCACAGGGATTCTCACGGATTGGGAAACCTCTGCAAAAACAAAGAGACACCATAACAGGGTTTAAAAATGAAACAATATATAACAACTAATGATGCAGGGAATTTCAGGACATAAAGTCTTTTAAGGCAAATAAAACTTTAATTCCTACCCACCTCTCAGCAGTAAATGTACATGGATGCATTTTAAATCTAACAAAACCGCATATTATAATAAAATGTGTGTAACTGCATCTGAGATGTGGTTAATGTCAATGCTCTGTTCAAATCTGGACTTGTTTATGAATGTGAATGTTAATGTGTCCCACTGTGTCTGCTGTAATGGTGAGAAGGGGTTTAACTGAGCGAGGCTGTGATACACCCAGTGATCTTTGGACACAGCAGAGGTGAACATCCACACTGGCATGTGAGCTACGACCAGTGGCTGCATGTTTGTGTTGACAAGAGAGAGAGAGAGTACACGTGTGTGGGCAAGAGACAGAGATGTGTGTGTGTGTGTGTGTGTGTGTGTGTGTGTGTGTGTGTGTGTGTGTGTGTTTGTTCTAATGTGTGTTGGCACACTTGTGTGTGTGTTTGAAATCAAGGCTGTGTGCCTGTTTGGCTCCGACTGTTTACAGTCTTGTATGTCGTGTTGGAAACTTCTTAAAATAAAAGCCCTGGTGTTGCTAAGTGAGGGACCTGGCCCAGATTACAGACCCACTGACCCTCGGTAGCTACTAACCCCCGGTGCCTCCTTGGCCACAGATTAAGCCAATGAAGGGAGACATATTCAAATTATGGTGGATCACCACAATGTAAAAATCCTTCATTCAAAAAGTAGCACCAAGTATTAAAAGTACAGGTACTTATATCACAATTTGGCCCTTTTAGGAGTGTTATATTATATCTTATCTGTAATTACACATAAAAACATATTTTAATTTTGTAGCTGTTTGAGGTAGAGCTCATTTTAACTACTTCATATTCTGCATCATATTTTTTATGGTTATAATAATAATAAACTTTATTTAAATGGCACTTTTTTAAAACAAAGTTAAGAGCTTAACTGAGAGTAAATGGGAATTAAAAAACAAAAATTACAAACAAAAGACAAAGAAACATCATAAAATAGAGGGTAATGAAATGAAGTTACATGAAAATATAAATTGTCAGTATGGGGAAAAAAGAAAACACAACAACATCAAACATTCATAATATCTGATTGTTTGTTTTGCATGTAAAATTTGATTCTCCTAAGTGTTTGTAGCTGTCAAATAAAAGTAGTGGAGTAACAAGTAATCTACACGGCTGAAAGCTGTATTCAGATAAGTGTAAGTAGCAATATAACAATTTAAACCTAATCAATTACTACAAATCCTGCACTGAAAATCTTACTTAGGTACAGATATGGAAGTATTAGATGCAGAATGTACCTAAAGTATCAATTGTGTTTTATGCAAACTGATTCATTGATTTTGACCAACAGCAAACTGTAAACATATTGACATATTATACATCTCATGAGGTTGATATGACAAATTTAGTAGTAAACAGCTGCTTATTTACACATCCAGTAGATGTGCAGCAAAATCAACATTTATCTGGAGTCATGTTTCTGTAAATCCAACACTCACTGTCCTTGTAGCTCTGCTTTGATCTCCAACACCTTCTGAGAAAAAATATCTGCTTCTTCAGACGGTAAATGTTTCACTATGTTCACCAGCTAAATGAGTGTGTTTGCTGTTTGGCAGTGGGCAGGCTGTGTACAGTTGGTTTGTCACAGCTGAAAGCAGCTGCCTGCTGAAACTGATACAAATAAAACATCAGGTCTGGCCTGAGCCGCACTGCAGGACACATTTAAAATCATGAATAATCCTGAGAACATATTCATAGCTTGTATCTTTAAGGGGAATTTCCCTTTAAGTTCAGAAGTATTTCTTTGATTTGTTACTGAAGCAGCTTACTTCTACCTGCTACTTGTTGTAAATACAACTGTGACATATTATCACCTAATACAGTTGACTTATTAACAAATAGTTGCCTGTTTACACATTGAGCTGACATGGAGCAACATTAGCATGAAATCATGTGTCTGTCCACCAATATTCAAAGTCCAATATGTCTCCTTCAACTATCTGGCTCTTTAACTGTTGCTACAGCTAGTCACTAACTTTGTCTGTCTGCTGTCTGAGGCTTATAAACAATAGGTTTATAGGGTGATAACTCTCTGTGGGTTCGTTACTACGAGCGACACCTTTCACATTACATATCATACAACATCACAACATCCTTTTTTTATTGGTAATCTACCTTTCTCACTGGACACATTTTGACTTGTCATGGTAAGAAAAGCCCAGGTGTTACTAACAACATTAACAGTGGCTCTGTTCTATTCAAGTGTTTGCTGTGACAGTGAGTCTGCATGTATCATACCAGGCTTAAGCACAGTGTTTGACTAAATGTACTTACAGTGAACCACTGGAAGTGTGATGGAGAATATGAATGAATATGAATATTCAGCACAAGAAAAGTCCCTCAAAACTTTACTTTTACTGATTGGAGTATTTGTGCAAATGTAGCACTTTGTTTCTTCCCACCACTGGGTTTGCCTTACAGTCATCCAGTCAGAATAATGAGAAGTGTCCAGCACAATCCCCTGGAAATGAGTTCATTTCTTCAATTCTACAAAGTACACAGAGTGAGTGATGTGTAGACTGAGTGTTCATAAGATAGTTGATCACCACCACCTGTGAGTCAGCAGTTACTTGGTCAGGTGCTGAGGCTTCCCCCTTTCACTGATGGAACAAAACCTTCCCACCCAGTGGAGTTCAGACTGCATATTACTTCCTGCACTTGACTGTATATGGTGTGTGAGTGTGTGTGAGAGAGCGGCAGAGTGAGAGCGCATATCCAGCATTCCTACACTGAGCTACAGTGCAGCCAGGCCTCAAATGGGTGCCATATTGGGTGACTGATCCCTGGTCTCAATGTTCACTGTCCTGACCAACAGAGGACACTGAGCACTGTCAGGAACTCTCATACAGTATCAGTGATCACTACAGGTAAGGGTGCCCTCTGCTGGACAGATGGGCAGTGATTTAAAATTTAAATCTGGGCAGTTACTTGTTTTTTTCCCCCATATTTTATAGACTAATGCTTGTTAATTAAAAAATATCAACACAAAATCAATCAAATCAGTGTTGAAAGCTATTAGCTGTAGCCTTATATTGCTATCCAAAACTGTTTGACTAAGTAATGTCAAACAGTGCTTTGGATGCTCAGAGCTAGCATTCATTACAGCAGCTCCTGGTTGAGTGAGGTGTGGAGTTTTTGTGGCAGTACCTGTGAGCTCCTTCGGGTCAGCCTCCGCACCAGTCGCCGCTCCTGTGACGATGAGTCCGTCTGAGAGGAAGAACTCCGCAGCACGGGCTGTCTCTTCAATGCTCACATCTGACGTCAGGGCATGGGAGCTGGGAAAACACACACACACACACACACACACACACACACACACACACACACACACACACATTGGGGATAAAGCAGAGAGACTAACTCTGGACAGTGGGCTGAATCCAGGGATGAGCTACAGTAATTACAATTAGAATACAGTAAGATACAGTAAAAACAAAAGTTACATCAGCATTGGGGGAATATTGGTCTAGACATTCATTTTTTAAACATAAAAATACACTCAAGAGCCAATGCTTTCACTGTAAGTGATAAAATAGACTTTTATAAACCATCTATCTTACTTATAACAATATATAGAGGTAGCCTAACATTTATGAGCAGCTCTCAGGTGATCACATGATTAATCAAATGTAGAAATAAAAAGTCAGAAACAAGGATTTAATCTACAGTACATCTGCTACATTGTTACATTGTAATATATAGATACTGTATAAACAGGGGTAGAATAATGGCAAGCTGAGATGATAAGAAAAACAAACTGCTGAAGGATAAAAATCAGCTGTAATTCAAAGAAAACATACTGTGTAACAATGAGGGGAATTTACTACCACACTGCAGACAATGAAGATGCATAGAAAGTAACTGCTAACAAATATAATGCCAGCTTTATTACCATTTACATCCCTGAGAATTACAAAAAGACTAATGTAAATTCAAAAGTATGTTTGGAAAATATTTTATAAGAAAGCAGCAACTGCAAGAGGCTGAATCTACCCAACTCTGAATTATACATATTGTCTCAGGTATCAGGCATTTACACTGTACAGTTATTCCAAAACATGTCTTAGGAGGTGTGTCCTCACCTCTGTATAGGAGCCATGCAACATGCTCCTCTTAGCCAACTTAAGAGACAGTAGGGACAGTGGACAGGGACAGTAAAGAGACAGACAGGAACTGAGGCGAGATGCATGACAGCATCAAAGGTCCCCTGCTGGAATCAAACCCACGACATTGTGTTTATAAGGTAAGCAACTTAACTATTTGTCTGTCAGGCCATCCCTGGAAATCTCTTAAGTTTAGGAACAGTTTTTAAGTCAAAAGATATTTGGTACATAGGTTTTATTCTTAAGTTTGAGAGTGACAGTACAATTGAAGGATTTTTACTTTCATCTTTCATTTAAGTCCAAAATTTTACCTTTAGCTGTTTGATAAAAACACATAAAAGCTGATGTGACTTTTTGAAAACTACAAATTTAAATTTGGTGAAACCCTGTCAGACACAATTAGCAGCCAGAGTCAAGTAAATCAATTTTGATGCTACTGACAAACACTGACAAGACATTAAATCTCCCTAACTGATATTTTTTGTTTCATCACGCCAAATCTGTTTGTATGGATCGTCATGTAGAAGCAGTATGGGTAAGTAGTAGTAGTCAGTGATGCCATTGTAATTATGTCAGGATCATCAGAGATAAAGTAGTTCTAAATGAACATGTTAAAGTGTCAAATATACTTACTATTTTCTTCATATCAGTGGATGATCTGGTTCTACTTTCTAATCAAACTGTGATCCCACCTGTGCTTCTTTTTGATGTCAGTGAAGATCTGCACATGTTCAGCTCCAATCTGTCTGCGATATCTTAGCAAGTCTCCGGCACAGGCGTTAAGAAGTCCCTCATCAGCCACGTGAGAAAAGACAAAACCCTCAGCCCTGATGAAATCCAGACCTGTCACCATACAGCCACATTATAATGTTATGGTAGCCACAGATCAAATACAGGTAGGTTTTGGCTAAGTCTGATGATTACAGATGATTACAGCCTCATATACAGTATAACAATAAATGAATTGATGTAAATACTGAACCTGAACCCAGAGCTACAGCCAGAGCCTGCTGGTTAGCAGCGGACAGTATTTGCACCCCGAGTGGCAGGGCCGGACAGATACCTCTCACAGCAGAGCATACTGCAGTCATACAGGCACACACCTCAGGGCCCACAGAGAACGAGTAAGGGATATCATGCATGTTCTCAATGATCAAACCATCCTGACAAAGGGGTTCACAAGTCATGGTTATTGGCTTTCCTGGTAAGACTTCAAATATGGAAGGAACTCACACGATGTGCAATAACTTACAATTCCTGCATCACGGTAGACTGAGGCCTCCCTGCATGCTTCTTCAATTATCTGGGACATTTTCATACAACCCAGAGGGGTACCTGAGATAGACAAGGAACTTGGTTACATACAGTATAAGATATCACAACTTACTGCAGTGAAATGTAAATAAGCACTTAACATCAAATTTGAAGTACTTGTACTTTACATGAGTTTTTCCATTTCATCCCACTTTACACTTTAACTCCACTACTGTTCAGAGACCAACTGCAACAGAGAAATACTTACATAACAATGCATGGGCAAATATAATCTAATACTGTAATATATAATAGTATAACAGTCACTTATGCACTGAGTACTTTAAGTACATGTTGCTAATACACTTTTGTTGTGACATTTTTAGTTCAGCACAGTTGTAATGGAGTATTCTTACAGTGCATGGTGTTAGAGAATACTTCCTCCACTGAAGCCTTTACATTCAATCATGGAGGACACTGGTTAGTGTAATCTCGCGTTACCTGGTAAAGCTTTAACGTGAATCATCCCAATAACCACGGATTTTAAGCGCCCAAAAAGCTCCAAAAACTTCATCTTTCCTTCTTTTTGTTGAGTAATCAGGTAGCAAAGAACAAATCTTGTTTTTCCTCTTTTAAACACGGGGATCACGTGATAGGCCAAGGGTCAATTATTTGGGGAAGGAGGGAGAGTATGACGCGCTGGAAATGGGGGCAAAGGGAGAAGCATCCGCAGCTTAGCATAGTTAATTTTTTGCTGGATAACAGACAGTGACAGCGACTGACGACCTTTTGTAGACTTAACACAACGAAAAGAGTCAATTATCCCACAATACATTGGTCGGTTTTTGCTCTTTTTAGGCTCAATCTGAAGAAGTACGGTTTTGTTTACATCTGACAGACTAGCCACGCGGTGCCTGGGTACTTCCTCTCAGGAAGCTCCGCCCCTTCAGCTGTCACCGCACGCCTCCCGCTTGTCGGCTAAATTATAAACTTATTTTTCCTTATTTTTAGCACAATATAGAAAGGATATATTAAACATACGTGCAATCGAGCCGCTCCAGGTGTGAAACTGCAGTTAATGGAGGCGAGATTAGATTATAAAGAGGCGGTGAGGTTGGAGGTTTAGCGCCAAGTTAAATCTACTCCTCCCTGCTAGGCGCCAGCTCAGAGGAACTAGCCCGGCCTGGGTATACAGACGCACAAAGAGCTCCTCCGAGTACGAACAACAGGCGGTGAAGTTACTCAAAATTCATATTTATTTTTTTAGACGTGGATAAGAGTGAACTTCAAGGGCAGAGTCTTGAGGTGAGTGGATGAAAAGAAACTTTATCATTGCATCAAGTTATTTACGTTGTGCTAGTTTCAGCTGCAGCTTGTGTAGCTACGCAGGCTTTAACCTTAATAATAACTAAACCGGACGTTGAATTAAAAGTTTGTATGGATGGTCACACTTTACTGTTTCATGTGTGCTCGATGTTGTTGCTGTTAAATGGTGAATTAAGAAAATAGGCGCCCCAGCTGTGCCGGGGTCGTTCGGCCATTATGTGGCAAGCCAGCTGTTCAAAGTTAGCAGGGGAAATTTACCAGCTTCCCCTTAAAAATACACGAAATAACAACACTCAGTGGATAACTCAGCATCTGTTGTTAATCATCGGTTAATTTCGTGAATGTGCTCACAGTGTGTGTTACTTTTTGACGACTTTTAACACCGCGTACCTTTTTCATTTCCCCGCGCCAGACTGACTCGGGCTTTGTCAGCAGGAGGGAGTTCAGAGTGGGGGTTGGGAGTATCAGCTATATGCTTGTTTATCTAAACCCCAAAATGAAAAAGTTTTTTAAAACATGTCTCCTTCACAGGTTTACTCTGGGAACTGACACCAACCCCTCAGAATATAATGAGAGGAAAACGGTAAGTTTTATGTTTTTAAATCACGGCTCTGTCAACCGTGTCACTCAAAGTGTGCGACGACAGAAAGAGAAGAAGAGTTGATGGAGCTTTAGCCGTTTGGCTAGTTAGCTTGTTGCTGTGAGACATTAGTCTGAGCATTTTAGCATGTTTATCAGGCTTGTCAAAATCTTCTGTTTACTATGAAGACTTACAGCCACCTGTTTGCTGTTTTATGATGTTACAGGGAAGACACAGAACCGAAGTCTGTTGCTCCTGAGGCGCCCAAAGAAAACACAGCACGACCGAGAAAGAGGAAGGCAGATGTTGCCATTGTGAGTGGTCTGAGAGGCTTTCAGACTGGCCTTTAATTGACATAATGAACCCCATTTTCAGCTGTAGCTGGTGGGCCTGATTCAATAACCAAAACTGAATAACACACTGTATATTCATCATTTGCTGGCAAGTAACAGTGTCCTTTGCTTCACTAAAGTATGACTGATTGATGCAGCTGGTCATGTATTGCCTATGACTTAAGTTGTTTGTAATAATACTTTTTATTGGTGCTTATAAAGTGAAAAGCCCACAGTGCAGGATTCAGTTTCTGCCTTTCACAAGCTCTCATACTGTGGAAATGGATCTGATCTGACAAGCTCTGGCAGTTTGAATTGAATCACATGGTGAATCTTTTTTTTTTTTTTTTTTCTTCTTTTAAATCCTTTACAGTATTTACAAGATCTGGATGATGATGAGGAGGTAGCAGAGATGACGAGGAAGAAGCAGCGTGACTGTGAGGTAGGCTTGGTTATCTCTGATTAAGTGGTCTGTCTGTAGCCTTAATGTTTGAAGTCAAGGTTATTGAAGAGCTGAGCCCATCACAACATGTTATTTACTGTGACCTTACCCTCACATTTTCCTTGTCATCTCTTATTCTCTTTCTCTTTCTCTTTCTCTCTCTCTCTCTCTCTTTCTCTCTTTGTCTTGTGAAGCTGGTCTGGAGTCCTGGTACTGGTTACAAGAGTCCACACAGGTGGATTCCCACGCCTGATCATGAAGAGGACCAACCTGTTGCTCTGATAAATGCAGGCTTCCCCCACTACAACTTTAACAACATATTTGTCACCCCCGTGCATTGTGCCCCACTCCCTGCGCTGTGGTGAGTACTATTGTAGTGTGGTTAATTACAGTGGCAAGAAAGTGTGTGTGAAAGCTTGAGTCATAAAATGTGACCTGATCTTCATCTCAGTCTCTGTAGTCAAACAGTGTCCCTAAGATAATATCACACAATTATAATCTTTTGTGTTTATTGAACACAGCCATTAAACATTCTCAGTGCTGGTGGGGAAAAAGTAAGTGAACCTTTGGATTTATTAACTGGTTGAACCTCATTTGGCAGCAATAACCTCAAACCAGCTCTTCCAGTAGTTTCTAATCAGACCTGCACAATGTTCAGGAGGAAGTTTGGACCAGTCTTCTTTAAAGAACTGCTTCAGCTCAGACAGATTCTGGGTCTGAGCTCTGACTGGGCCACCCCACCCCAACAGGTGGATTTTCTTTGTTTGAAGTCACTCTGTTGTAGATTTACTTTGATGTTTAGGGTCATTATCCTGTAGCATCACCCAACGTCTACTGAAGTCCAGCAGGTGGACAGCCACCCTGACACTATCCTGTACGATACACCGACAAACCTTGGCAATTCATTTTCCCCTGTCCAGAGGCAGCAAAGCCCCAAATCATGGTGTTCCCTCCACCCTACTTAACATTTGGGATGATGTATTTATGTTGGTATGTAGTGAACCTTTTTAAACCATACATAGTGCTGCATGTTCTTCCCAAACACTTCAACCATAGTTTTCTCAGTCCATAAAACATTTTCCCAGTAGTGATGTGGAGTCAGGGGTGCAGCAATGGCGCAGCACCTTTCTCCATGCTCCATGCATCATGATGTGTGTATAGTGGACTTATGAGCAGAGACGTTAACCAGCTCCAATGATTCCTTTAAGCCTTTAGCTGTTACTCTGAGGCTCTTTGTTACATTACTGATCACCTGTGTTGAGCTTTTGAAGTCACTTTAGCTGTTTATCACTTCTAGGGAGAGTAGCCACAGAATGTAAACATCTCTATTTATAGACAGTTTGTGTGACTGTGGACTGATGAAGATCTCAACTCTTTGAGATGACCCTGTGACCCTTTCAGCTTTATGCTAATCAACAATTCTTGACCTAAGTATTCTGAGATCTCTTTTGTAAGGTATGGTTCACATCAGATGTTTCTTGTGAACAGCAAACTCGAGATGTTTGAGTCTTCAATTGTCTCTAACCCACAGCTACAGTCCGGTTTCACTGACTTGACTCTGGACTTTGATAACTCCCGACTCCAGTTAACTTTTGTTTTTGTCATTAGCTAAAAGGGATTCACATACTTTTTCCAGCTACACTGTGAATGTTTGTCTTTTAATATGGACAAGAACAATACAATTGTTTTATGAGTTAAAATAGATTGTGTTTATTATTAAAAAATTAGATGAAACTCTGGAGATATTTTAGGACAAGTCGATACCTAAATGGAGGTAAACCCAGTGTTCACTCACTGCTTCTTGCCACCTTATCTCCACATCCCACAACCACGTTTGCTCTCTCTTATATCAAAGCGCATAGAGGGAGGTGACAAATTAAAAGAAAAACCTGAATAAATGAGTTAATTCATGAGGGATTTTGGAGCAGTTTGTTAGCAAATGCTCTCCTCCATGATCAAAACTAAAGTGAGGGAACATCTGAAGGAAGAGTGCTGTCTTCCCTCCAGAAGAATTACAGAGAGTTGGAGAATCTATGACATGCAGCACTGAAGATGTTTCTGGTGCATATTTTTGAAACATCTTATTAAAATACTTCATATTGGTCTTCCTTCCTAATTTGTCACCCATCTGTACTAAGGCCTGTAAACCCATGTAGGAAACATACTCTGCACATGTTGCACCACAAAGACAACAGTCGAGTTGAATCCTTGACCATTGTGTCCATCTATTTTGTTAATTAGCTGGGCCAGTAAGGATGTGGTGTGGAACAACATGTTGGAGAAGGATAAGACCTACACCAGAGATGTGCATGTGATGGAGAAGCATCCTCATCTTCAGCCCAAGATGAGAGCAATTCTCCTGGACTGGCTCATGGAGGTCTGTAGCATGTCTCAGTGACCAGTTTAATAACTTCAGTCATCACACCTGTAAATGATGCATGTAATGACTTTAATTTTGATCATTTCAGCAGACTGTTACATTAGGGTTAAATTGGCTTTTGTGCTTTCTCTGAACAGAAGCTATAGACGCTATAAAGAGTTTACAGGACCTGGTCTAAGCCTGTTAACTATCAGCACTTCAAGACATTTCCAAGCTGCTGTTCTGCTGCTAAAATCTAGATTTCTTATAAACATGATGTCATCTGACAAAATCACCAAACACATAAGACAAAGAATGAGCTGTGGTTTCTGTGACACTCACTGGTTCTCCTGTTTTCGGTCCAGCCAAAAAAAAATGCATGAACCTTGCAGAGCATCATGTTAAGTTTCATGTTTACAGAACAGCTCTTAGGGTAAAGTACTGTCACTAGTAAACTGTGCCGTAGGACTTGGTCAGCACTCTGCTCTTTCTCTTTGTGATGTAGTCAAATTCTGCTTTGATCTGGTTATTGAGATGCAAGGTAATGTGACTGCAAACCTGCGTTAGGTGGATAATTATCCGTAAACATCCTGTGGCATAAACAGTTAAAGTAAAACTGACAGAGAGAAAAAATTACTTTGAACATCATTGTACTGAAGGTGAATAATGAGCTGCAATGACTTATGAGTTCTCCTGTTTCTGAAGGAGATCAACCAGTCTGATAGGGTCTTTACTCAATGTGATTAGACCAAATCAGCTTTAGCCCTTTGATTTTTGGTTCCTCTTCATATCAAAGGATAAATTGCTATGAATAATGGTGATAAGAGCTTCGAGATCTGAGATCTGTTTCAGTGCAGCACCGTTTAAATTTAAACACTGAGATAGTTAATTTTGTCTCCCTGTAATGTTGTTGCTTGAATATATTAGACTTGATACCAATTTAAAGGTACAGGAAACTTTATTTAGAATTGTATTACTTCCATAGCTATATGTAGGAATACATGCAATGTACTCTGCAAAGCATTTCCAGTTTCTGAAAAGATTAAGTTGTGCCACGATGTTGTGGACGTTTCAATTTGATTCAACCACGGACATCCATGGAGACAACAAAATCTCATGTTGTAGGTTGCTATGGAAATACAGAAACACAGCACACAGTATAAAGGTAACTGAGGAATCTCACAAATATAACTGAATGAACTGAAAACGCTACAGAGCAGCTTCAATTTCTACCCAACAAGAAACCAAATGACAAGTTTGTTTGTGCTAAATGGAGTAGTGTGTCAACAATGCAAACAACAACACACAGATCCACATAACAGCTGATACACAGAAAGAGAGGGGTGATGCAACAAGCCTTTAAAAGTCACATTCCAGCAGCTGTAACAGTTCACTTTGTTTTGTATCTAGTGCTGCTTGTAATGTGTGCTTCACAAACATCCTTTTTCTTTGACACTTGGACTTTTAACCAGAAACCTTGCACAGAGCTTATCCCAAGTGTACATTTTTCATTAGTTATAGTCGTGCGCTGACCAACACTTCACAGAGGTCAAGAAGTCAAATCCTGGATGAAACCCAAAGTAAAGCAGGAAATAAACAGCAGGGAATCTAGTTAATTGTAAAAAAAAAAAAGAACAGAAAAGAAACTTACAGCACTTTGTGACATGTCTAACATCTGATGAAAACATAATTAATTAAAACATATCAAGCTATAATCACACCTGTTGAGTGTCCAGTGCCCTCTGAATCTTTGCTCTTGGTTGCATTCTTTTGTGAAACATTGTGTGGAAATCTACTGAAAAACTCATTCACTGTCATTTCAATTTTTTAAGCAAGAATATAAAATATGAATGACACTTATCAGTAATCCACCATCATTATAGTGAACTTCATTTAATGCCACTCGCATAAACGAACCTACCAGTGTATGTGGTCTGAAGTCGTGGGAGTTCATCTCACTGAAGCAACATTCTGTGTGTGTGCATGTTTCAGGTGAGTGAGGTGTACAAGCTGCACAGGGAGACGTACCACCTCGCTCAGGACTACTTTGACCGCTTCATGGCCACACAGAGAAACGTCTTCAAATCAACGCTGCAGCTCATAGGCATCACCTGTCTCTTCATCGCTGCCAAAGTCGAGGTGAGACATACTGGACTGTGCGGGACGTCAAGTGGAATGATCTAAATTGCCCTTTGCACCTTTTCTCCTGCCTTATTTTGTAATATGTTGGCAGGTATGGTTGGTTATTATAATGATCTTGTAATTTTGCTTCTTAGGAGATGTATCCTCCCAAGGTCCACCAGTTTGCCTACGTTACAGACGAGGCCTGCACGGAAGATGAGATTCTCAGTATGGAAATCATTATTATGAAGGTAAAGAACACAGATGTAACTCATTGATCCATGACACATCAGTATGAACTGGTCTGCATTTGTCCAAGGGTCTGTAAATAGTATGGCTCTTGTAATGATTGGCCCTTAGTTACCTTTCACCACTGGCGGACAGCATGTTCTCCTCCTTTTTGTTTTATGACATGAGTTTCTAAATGCATGTCTGTCATACAGGTAGTTATTCTAAAACCTTGCTTATGTAGTCTCTCTCTCTCTCTCTCTCTCTCTCTCTCTCTCTCTCTCTCTCTCTCGTCTCTAACACAGGAGCTGAAGTGGAGTCTCAGTCCACAGACTCCCATCTCCTGGCTCAATGTTTACATGCAGGTGGCCTACCTGAAAGAGACAGATGACCTGCTCATCCCCAGATACCCCCAGACTACCTTCTCACAGATATCAGAGGTGTGTGTGTCTTCACTAATGAATTGATTTATCCATTAAGTATTTAAATACAGAAATATGAGAGTTTAAGTAGATGCACACTGAATCCAGTGGAACAGGAGATGGATGGAGCATGAATGTGCAGCTGACAAATCTGCAGTAATGTGATACAATCATGTCAATGTGGAGCAGAGTCTGAATGGAAAGTTTACACATCTTGTAGAAAATTTGGATTATTTGACCGTAAATCATCCTCTGTCTCATTTTATAAGAGCAGTACTTCTTCTGAGGTGTGCTCTGATGTTTAACTATGGTGTTTTTCTGTTTTTTTCTAGTTGTTGGATCTCTGTATGCTAGATGTGCGTTGCCTTGAGTTTTCCAATGGCACCCTGGCTGCTTCAGCCCTGTTTCACTTCTCTTCCTTGGAGCTGGTGGAAAACGTTTCAGGTAAAAATAAGACAAACTTCACTAACTTTTAATCTTCTTGAGCAAAAAGTTTTTATTAAACCATACCGTTCATCCCTTTGTACATGCAGCCCTGAAGTGGGTGGAGGTAGAGGAGTGTGTAAGGTGGATGGTGCCTTTTGCCATGGCTCTGCGGGAGGTTGGCGGGTTGCCCATGAAAACATTCCCAGGAATCCCTGCAGATGACATGCACAACATCCAGTCCCACGCCCCTTATCTGACATGGCTGGTAAGTGAAAGTATTCTCTAAATTAGAAAGAAACCGGGGAAAATCTTGATCCATGAAAAATAAGAGTAATCTTAGGGAGTGAGGATAAAAAATGTGTGCAGCCATTTAACCTGCAACCTAACACATCTGAAATGTTTTCAGCTGAGGACTTGTAGATACAGCAGATTCAGAAAGTATTCAGACCCCTTCACTTCTTTACACTTTGTGTTGTAGATGTAATTTCAAATGGATAAACCTTCTATCAATCTACAATCAACAACCCATAACAATAAAGTGAAAACCATGTTTTTGAAGTTTTGTAAATTTATTCAAAATCAAAAACTGAAATATTTTACAAAAGCATTCCCACCCTTTACTGTGACTCTCTAAACTGTGATCAGGTGCTTCCTGTTCATCATCTGTGAGATGTGTCTAGAACTTGACTGGAGTCCACCTATGGCAAAGTCAATTAATTGGATGTAGTTTAGAAAGGCACACACCTTTTGTGTGTATGAGGCCCCACTATTCACACTGCATGTCGGTGGGAATTTTTGGGGATAATGGCGAGGGTTACGTGAAGAAACTTAAGACTCCTTTGAAACAAAAGACATGTAAAAACACTCAACTCAATATCTTCTGTAATAAATGAATAAGCTCCTGAAAAGGTTTGAAACACATCTACTACTCCAGTAAAAATTCAACATCATAAATGTAAATATGTCTGATCATAAGTTTAAGCTGTTTGTAACTCCACTAAAGACTATCAGTATCTGTACACTGAAAGTTTCACAGGGTATTTTCATTGCACATTTTCACAGTATGGTGGTATTTTGCATAATGAACCGAAGGCTGTGATGAAGGTCATGATGATTTCACTGCTTCCTAGTGACAGCACAGTTAACCTGTGTATTCCTGCTGTCTACAGGACAAGGCCTACTCTTACCAGGATGTGGAGTTGGAGTGTCATGGCCGGTGCTCTGTCCCTTCAGGCGTCCTGACTCCACCTCTGAGCAGTGAGAAAACTGAAGAGCTGGCTCGCGTGGACAGCACAAAACTGAAAGTTATACCAAGGATGCACGCGGCATCTCCACAGCGGTCCCTTCCAAAGTAGCGAAGCGACCACTGAAACTGATGAGACAACAGCAAATTTTAATTCGATTTTTACGTTGGAGCTGTAAGAAAGGCGCAGCTCTGATATGTTGCCTCTGAACAGTGACGCCTCTGCAGCACCAGTACAGATGTATGATGGATTTCTGGTGGGGAAACACTGGAAGTGGTATTTTCTCATTTCAAAGTCATGCTGATTTACTTGGATGCTTTTAAATGTCTCTGAAGGGGGTGAATACACTGACTTTGGATAAATTGGGGAAGTACTGACAATCAGTGAACAAATGGCTTTGATCCCCACAGGAATCTTTACCTATTCAACCCTCCAGCTCGGGTGAAAACACAAAGCTAAGGGCCAGTAGGGATGGGATGGCCCGAGAGGAGAATTTTTTTTTTTTTGTTTTTTTTTTTAATAGCATTGCACCCTGATGCTTGCATTAATTACCAGTCACACCTACATTTAATGGTTGCCATCTTTATTTGCTATGCAGAGGCCAAATTCAGTTTTATGGAGTCTGTATTTGATCCTGTGTGTGTGCTAGTTTTTTTTTTTTTTTTAATTCTTTTAGTGGCCTCATTTGCCCAAAAACTATTCCTAGAGTCCTATTTGGCTCTATGTGCTGCTATAAAGTGGGCTTTGCATGATGGAGGGGGAGGAGAGCGAGTGTGTGTGAATGAGTGTGTGAGATTTTTTGTTTTTTCTTAATGATATGAAATAGGGTGTTGCTCTTGTTTTTGGTTGTACTCTCTGTACATTTTATTGGATAAAACATGGCCATGTTTTACTTGGGGACCAGTAGCTCGGCTACATAAATGGACAAGTGACAAAGCCAGGCTTCAGAAGCTAAACTATTGATTGTATTTAACTTTGTTTTTTTTTTTGTTTGTTTTTTTTATCCCAACCTGCAGTTCGTTTGCCCACCACCAAAATGTAAGATTTCTATTTTGACGTTTTAAAATAAAATGCTGCTACATATTTTCCATCAAAGAAAGTTTCTCAAGACTTTTTAATTTAGCAATCCTTTGTTGTACTATGGGTTTTCAGTGACATGTCATTTTGAATCAGGTTTATCATTAATATAAAGTACTGCAAGACAGGTAGCTTAAATACTTTTTTTCAATAAAATATGTAGTATAAAATTTAAAAAAAAAAAAGTCTAATACAAACATGTACAGTGTGCAATATGAATTATGGAGGTACAATAGTTCACAGTATGAAATTAGTTTTAATGAAATCTTAGTGTTAATGTCTTCTTCAAACCTTACAAACACACAGATGCACGCAGGTTTTATTCCACTAGATGTCAGTGTGATGCTTCAGTTTGCAAGAGAAACCTGCACAAACACCATGCATGCAATGCACAGATGTGATATTGAGGGGGAAAGGATTACAAGAGGAAGTTCTCATTCAGTTCAGAGCATGTGTGTATTTTAATGACAGAGCAGAGCTGTCAAGTCTCTATTCATTCAAGGCAAGTCCAAGTAAAAGTTGTCTGAGATGTAAGTTGACAGTCGTGAGAAAAACATTGTAAAAATCTCTGGTTGTTATTCCAAAATGCTGATTCCTTGATCACACTGTGACTCACACCCACCAATGGCTCATTTAGATTTTTTGCTGACCAAAGACGGCCTGCAGCAAAAATCAGATAGTTTCAGAAATTAATCACCAAGTTCTCTCAGTGTGACTGCTGCTACAAGACGTCTACAAACCAACCAATCAAAATGCAGCATGATATAACAGTACAGTGTGCTGGTGGGTTCTCTTCCTGAGTGAAGTGTAGGGAAAAACCACAAACCACAGCAATGGAGGTGAAAGAAAAAAGTTTGTGATGTTAAAACAGAAAACCTTGCAGAGCTCCATTTGTCTGTCTCTGCTGTCGTACTTTTTACTCTGTAATGCTAAAAATCTCAATGTATTCATCCCACAATCTGACATGCCTCAGATTGGTAGCGTACAGATTGAGCTAAAGAACCAATCCTGCCTGTTTTTTCACACAGTCTAGAGTCTTTCAGGATCAGTAGGAATGAAACTGTTAAGAGTAAAATTTGAGTGGGACACTCCAGTAATGGAAAGGTCACAGTGTTTGCTATATGACTGCACTGTCCATGGTTCAGTTCCAGCTGGGGACCTGTGTTGCATGTCATGACAGTCTTTATTACTGACTGTCCAACAAAGGCATAATGCCAAAATAAAAGCAGTAGAATTTGGTTCTTAACTAAATCAAAATGATAAGAATGAAAATTCTGCGTATTATCTTAAAATTCAAAACAAGTGCCATGAAGAAAGATTTGATCTCAATTCACAGGTATTTCAGAGCTCCATATGTTTCTGAAGTTAGAGGGGAACAGTATCAGGTAAACACTGACTTTAGAAGAAGATACAAGTCTGTTTAGTCTAACCTTAGATTGTCAAAGATTAGATTGTGTAGTATTTAAATATTGAAGGAGTGGAACATATTTTAGAAAACACTTTAACAAGTTAGAAAACTCAACAGAAACATGGGAGCCTGTTTCGAAACACAGGTTTAACAAAATCTGAATCAAACCCTGAGATGAGAAACATCTGATCAGCGTTGGTCCAGTGAACTCTGAGTAACTCCGAGTGATGAATGAAAAAAGCCATCATCAATGGAGCTCCAGTTCTGTCATTCACCATAGCCTTTTATGTGTGGAGAAAAAATGAAATAAGTTAACACTATTACATTTCATTAGTCCGCTTATTGACTTGAATTTCCTTAATGGATGATAAGGTGCTGGAATCCTACTTAACTGTGTGTCGAGTTGTTAAACATATTTATTCAGCTATAACCTGACAGGGACAAAATACATGCGGCGATGACTGAAGATGAAAATACAGATCAAACATAAGACTTGCATTCAGCTGACAGTTTATTAGGAACACTTTACTAAAACTAACGCGGCAGCTCTGCAACAACATGAAGGCTATGATTGTGTTGAAACTTACAGAGAGGTGTTTTCAAACTATGATAATACTGGAGGCTGAAGTTTGTGTTGCTGTTGAATTGTATTGTGTTATGTGGACAGATGTTTCGATCATCAAACTAATACGAAACAAAAATCTGTATAATGTATACAGTTCAACAGCAGCATAAACTACATCCTCCAAAATTATTAAGTTGAATCAGCACCTCTCTCCAGCATTTTCAACACAAACTGAACATCATAACCATCCTCACTCAGAAATATTCAAATAATCTCCATTATGATATAGCTATGATGGGAATGTTCCATCAGTAAACTGTACTCAAAACACGAGAAACGATTATTCATTGTTCAGTGTCTTATATGTCTAAAGCTTGTATATAATTATTTACAGTTGTTACTACAGTACAGACCATAGAAGTGGTAATATTAAATATAGTTCTTTTGGTAACTAATATCTAAACAGGATTTCGATTTTCTTCTCCAGTCGTAAACCTCAAATGAATGATTCCGACGTGCTATGATATCGACTGCATTAATGAGGATGTGAAAAGCGGACTGCTCCTTTACTGCACAGCAAAGGAGAGGACAAGGAGGACAGTTGCTGACACTTGTGAGGGAGAGACACAGTGCAGGAAAGAGTGGCATGACTGAGAAGTGAGTGTCTCAACAACAAACCAGGTAAATTTCAATCTAATTTGATTCCAGTTTTTATTGAGTAATCCCAAGCTTTATAGTGGAGAATCCCTGAGCTGCATCAGACTGGTGAGAATGGTCTTTAGCTTGTTCTCCCCTGTGATGTTGTTTAGGACTGGCTTTAAAGTTTACCAGATGTGGATGCAGAGCTGGGGCTAAACTAAAGGAGGACTGGTTCTGTTTGTTAACAATAGATGGTGCAACCCCGGTCATATCACAGTGAAGGAGAAGACCTGCTGTCGGGATATTGAACTGTTGGCAGTTGATCTTAGACCGTACTATGTACCGAGGGAATTCTCACAAATCGTCGCCATTGTTGTTTACATTCAACCACAAGCAGAGCCTGCAGTCGCGTGTGACGTCATTCACAATACTGTTTCAGGATACAGACCCAGCACCCTGATGCATTCATTGCAATATTGAGGGATTTTGACCATGTAACTCTCACCTCTCACCTGACTAGCTTCACTCAGTATGTTGACTGTCCCAAGAAGGAAAATAAGACACTTGATTTGTATGCAAACGTCTAGCAGGCCTACACTGTTTCAATTCTACCACTACTTGGCAGATCAGATTATAATCTGGTTTTTCTTCAGCCTTCCTACAAGCCCTGTGTACTGAGCCAGCAAGGACCTTGACCTTGATAGAATGGTTGCATGTACTGCAGACTACATTAACTTCTGTATGGACACTGTAATACCAGCAAAGACTGTACACTGCTTTCCAAACAACAAACCCTGGATCACCAGTAACATCAAGACCCTCCTCAAGCAGAAAAAGGAGGCCTTCAGGGATGGAGACAGGGAGAAGCTCAGGTGTGTGCAACATGAGCTGAAGAGGAGATTAAAGCAGGAGAAGGAGGACAACAAAAAGCAAGTAGAGAGGAAGCTGCAGCACAACAACACCAGAGAGGTGTGGAAGGGGATGAGGAACATCACTGGCTATAAAGAGAAGAAAAGCCAGGCAACATCAGGTGATGTGGACAAGGCCAATGAGTTCAACCTGCTCTACAACAGGTGTGACACAGCCTCACCTGTTCTCTCTCCCACTGCTTCAGCTGCAGCTTCTCCTACAGCATCTCCTCCACAACCTAACACTGCAGCTGCAACTCCCTCCACATTGGGGTCAAGTCTCCCGTCCTTTACAGCGGAGGAGGTGAGGGCGGAGCTCAAGAGGCTACGTCCTGGAAAGGCAACAGGCCTGGATGGTGTGTGTCCGAGGCTGTTAAAGGATTGTGCAGCCCAGCTGGCTGAGTCTCTCCAGAGGATCTTCAACTTAGACCTACAAACAGGGAGGGTCCCGGTCGTGTGGAAAACATCATGTCTTGTTCCAGTACCTAAAGTAGGGTGACTGGCTGAGATAAATGTCTACAGACCGGTGGCCCTCACATCATACATCATGAGGACCCTGGAGCAGCTGCTTCTCCACCTTCTGAGGCCACAGGTTGAACATGCACTAGACCCCCTACAGTTTGCCTACAGAGAACATATTGGAGTGGATGATGCCATCCTTTACATGCATGGAGAGACGCATGCAATGTAAGATGGAGGCCATCTTGGACAATACCAACCATCCTCTCCACAACATTCTGGCAGGACAGACAAGCAGCTACAGAAGCATTGCGCTGCAGAACAGAGAGGTTCAGGCGATCCTTTGTTCCCACTGCCATCAGGCTATACAACACCTCAGCCAAAGGAAGTGGACTAATCTAATTATTGTTGTCTATTTATTATTAACTGTTTTTTATTATTATCATCAACAATGAGCTAATGGACACATGAAAGTATCTATCTATCTATC